CGATACGTTTCATTGAGGAATTCTCGATATCCGAGGATGAAGATATTGAGGATTATGATTTCGCCAACATTATTTTTCGCAAGAATGATTTGGTAAAATCTGAAACAAATCTGATTTGCAAGAAAATATCCTTGATGAATAATCCCTCGTTGATGATGCTTCCACTCATGAGTGTCCATTTCAAATCGGATTCAACCATAGTTCCAGATATTCGAGAAAATGCTAGAGATATTATCATAAAGACGTCTTCGCTGTTGAAACCTGTAACAGTGGATGTAAGTGTTTCCGCAAGCATTGCATCGTTTACGACTGCGTTTGAAGGAATCGATGAAGATGAGCACATTCTAGACGAAATCCTAGACAACATCGACAGATCATGTTCTGCAGCTGAATTTCTCACAACCAATTCAACGTCGGCCCTCATCAATGCCGCAGAGTCTTTTGAGAGCAATTGCAAGACGTCGGATGCCGTCGTCGAAATAATTTTGGAGAAGATGAAGTTCAACTCGCTGTGCACGACGATCGATGACGTATTGAATAATATCCAGGGCATAAGCAACGATGGTATGTGGAAGAAAACACTGCAATATGAAGAGTTCAAACTGCAAGAACCTATAATCATCAACGATATAAGGAGGATCGGGCCTATGAGTATTTTGGTGAAATGGACGTTGCCAAAGAAGCACAAGGTGATTGGATTCGAAATTCTCGTAGATGGCTTCGTGAGATCGAGGATCTTGAGTGCTGAACGGCAGCAAGCAATTCTCGATGGTCTTTCGCTCAAATCGAAACTGAATATTGTGATTTACGCTATGAGCGATTCAGGAAGATGCAATCCACCGTCGCTGGCAGAGTACGAGATGATATAACGATGCTCGGGAAATAAATTCTAAGGTTTAAGCTTAAAGTTGGTCGTTGTCATAGATGTCATTCCGATCAAAATTCTTGTGAAAGTTCATAAGTTCATAAATTCCCGTGATCATACGGCAAACATGAGTTGAATTAATTACGATGACGAGTAGTGGATGTTGCTGTGGGGCCGAAGCGGAGCCGGAGCCCGGTCCCGACGAGGTCGTTGTCTGCGACAAATGCACGTGCACCGAACCCTGCAATCCTGCCTGCGAGGATGCCAAAACGGCGCAGGAATCGAAGGACAACAGCAAATGCAGCAACGCCTCCTGTCCCGGCAAGAAGAAAGACCTGCCGGTCACTGATTCCTGTCCCGATCTCGAACTGGGAGCTGAATCCAAATCGGAAACGAAGAGGGTGAGCATCTGCGAGACGTGCAAATGTAGCGTCGGATGCAATCCCGACTGCGAGCACGCTCAGAATATGCAGAATAAATCGAAATCGACAATTCAATCGGAATCCAGCAAAGTGAGCGTGCCGGAGACCATCCCCGAAGGAAAGGAATCACCCATACCCATGCCCAAGATATGCGTGATCTGCAGGTGTTCGGGCGAATGCAATCCGCAGTGCCAGGCAAACAAAATCAAGAAGAACTCTTGCAACTCGAAAACTTGCTCACAACAAGCTAGCAAGAATTTCAGCAGGTCGTCATCCCTGATACCGGTCTCCACATCTAAACTGTCCTCAACGAAAGCGAAGAAAGTTTGCAACGACTGCAAGTGCGCACCAGGACAATGTCCACCCGCCTGCGAAGAACTCAAACCATCGACCTCAGGATCGACGGCTGGATCAGTCGCGGCTTCAGTTGAAATCTGCGAGACTTGCGCTTGCACCGGAAAATGTCTTCCGCAGTGCGAGGAAAAGAAGTTGGCACTGCGCGGTGCCTCGAACAAGAGTTGCACGTGCACGGAAAATTCAGTTGCAAGCGTCCAATGTAACCTGACTCCTTCAGTTAAAAGTGCCAGCACCATTAATTCCAGCGTTCAAACTACTTGCGATTGCGGAACACAGGCCTCCTCGAAGAGCGCTATCAGCGTCGAGGCTCAAGAAATACAGAGCGCATTGAAGAGTATAAGCTGCTCCTGCGATGCAGCTGCATCGCTGGCTCCGATTGCCTCTACGATACCCCCAACCAGAGAACCATCAGCTCTTCCGCCTCCACCGCGGACGAACAAACAGTTGCGACGAAAGGGATCGACACCTTCGGATCTGCGTATGGCCATCTGCATGTTGAAGCAAAAATGCACAACCAAAGACGTAATGATCGACGCTATGATCGGCGAGTTGAATGCACGTGCGGGAAGTTGCATATTCAACTCGCTGCTGAAGAAGATCGCGTGCAATCGCGAAGAAGTTGCGGATTTCGATCGTACCTTGTTGACGCAGATTCTTTTGTCCCCCAAGATCGAGCAGAAACGTGGTCCAAATCTCAACAAGTTCTTGGAGAAGTGCATATGCGGCAAGTCGGTAGATCCCAGTCCCCTGAGTATAGTGCTCGTGAAGAAGATAGGACCAACGAGTATGCTGATCAGATGGAATTGCTCGAAAGATCAAAGCGTCACCGGTTACGAGATTTGCGTGAACGACGTTGTAAAAGCAAACATACAATCGGCTTCACGCAATAACACCGTCATCGACTCTTTGGATCTGAAGGACTACATAAAAATCGATATATTCGCGGTATCCGTAGAGGGCAGATGCATGCCACCGGCGACGTTCTCGTATGACTCGTGCAGTTGTCCTTAAATAAAATCAAATGTTTCAATTGCACATCAATCTCTAATTATCATTGCATATATGTCATTGTTTGTCATCAAAATTCTCTGCAACATTTTTCCATCACAATGTTTTCTGCATCAACGTCCGCGGACGGTCCATCGTCGAAAAGGATGTCGGCGAAGTCGCTGCAAACCATCAACAGGGAAAGTTCTAAGACAGACATAACCGTGAAGAAGCTGCGAGCGAAAATCAAGAGCGACAAAATTTTAAGGAAGGTCTACGAATTGAGGCGTTGCAAGTCCAAGAATAACGTGGAGAAGAAGAAACTGAATACGAACAAGACGAGCATGCTGAAGGCCAGTAAACACGACAAGAGCGATCAAACGTTGAGCGATTCGAAGGCGGCCGAATTGCAAATGTTGCAGATGTTCAAGGAGGAGTTAATAGAGAAAGCATTGGCCGAAATCAACTTTTTACCAAAAGCCTCGAAGGATGCGTGCCATCAGTGCGAGGCTCAAGATCTTAAACCCAATGATCCAGTGGAAAAGAACACAAGCAGATCTAAAACGGAGAACGTGGAGGAGCTGCATCCCATCGATTGCTGTTGCATCGATTGCATCACGATCAGCGACGAGAAGCCGCAGTCGGTGATAACTTACGACTCCGAGATCGTGTGTAAAAGAGAAGAAACACCGTGCTGTTCGACGGATCCGGAAAACGTTATCAATGTTCTGAGCAACAAAGGAGAGGAGATTCGGAAGAAAAAGGTCTCGTTCTCGAACGTTTGCCCGCTGGCAACGGCGAACTTAGCGAACGAGGATTGCAACCTAGGTCTGGTCACGGTATGTTGTATAAAAGTCTTGACAATTCTATTGCGAAAAATCATCCAGGTGATCTACAAATGCGACTCGTATGTGAGTCCGATGGATCTGATGAATCCGGAAGTGTTGAGAAACCTAATGCGCGACGTGCAAGAGCTGGTAACCGATTCGAAGTCGAACATTATCGCGCCGAGGACGATTCTAAAGAAAACCGTGCTCCGGAAGAGCTCGGAATCGGTGCCCGCTGGCCACCTTACGGACTGCTGTTGCATAGATTGCATTACAGACATGCCGGACAACGTTGAGGATGTGTAGAAAACAACAAAAAATAAACTGTTTACTTTCACTTCACTTCACTCATTATTTCGTTGTCATTGTCATTCAAAATTGATCATCGTCATCATTAACAATTTACAAATCTAACTATCAAGATGTGCGATTGCAAACGTAATTTAAAGGGCAAAGCCCAAGATGCTTTCTGGGTTGGCCTCATTGATAAGTACATGGACAGAATCGAGGATCTCGAGAATGAAAAGGAAATCTTGGAGAATTCCGTGAACGGAATGGAGACCGGATTGCCCGCACTGTTAACATTCAAAGTTAACAAACTGCTCAACAAAGTACCCAACGCTAACATCAACAAACTGTTGATGTTGCCCTGCTGCTGTCCCAAGGAGACCAAGCGCTACATAAAACCACCCAACCTGAAGAACATGTCGATTTTCGATATGACCGATACCGATGTCCATAGGGTCAACATCATAAAGCACTTGGTCGAAGACGAAAAGTTTCTTGTGGACAACATAAACGCCCTACTCGACAAAGAAATCGATCTTATGTATCAGAAGAGGAAGCTGGACAAGTTGGGGAGGCCGAAGGACAGTAAACCCAAGGTCCCTGTAAACTTAACAATCATGGAAGACTTCAATGAACAGCTAAAGATGAACAACGAGAATTTAAAGAATGAATTGGTTGAAGTCGAAGCGGAAATGGAGCATTACAAGGAACTCGAAGGACCCCTGCGAGAACTTCTCCGTAACACCAGGTTAGAGGCGAAGGAAAAGGCGGATGCACTCAACAGCGCGGTCAAAGAAAAGGAAGATAAAAACCAAAAGACCATTTTAAATTTGAAACAGAGACTCGAAGATAAAATGAATCGCATGAAAGAAGAGGTGTTGAAGAATAAGAAATTGAAATTGGATTTGAGAAAGATGAGGGATAGCGTTCGAAGACTGGAGAAGGATGTGGCGAGAAAAATTTTGTATGATACCGAGTTTAAACATTTGGAAGCAACTGAAGAAGAATGCGAATGTGAAATCAGAAATATCGACTACGAACAACATCCGAAAGAACCGTCTTCCATGTTAGTGAAGAAATGCATCAATGAAGTTCTAGGCTGTCTCAATAAAATGTAATGGGATTAATGTAAACATTATTGCATTCATTTTCAAATTCAAAACTTTTATCTATAATATTGGTAGCAATTTGTGCTTGCACCAACATTATCATACCAAAATAAATACAAATATCTGTTATTTTGGTTGCGGATATTGCAATTACAACTTCATTCAATAAAACGACCTAGTAACGTTCATTACAATGGACGAAGATCTTGACGATATTAGGAAATTGAATGCTATTATACAAGCAGAAAATGAAGAGGTATTATATCAATCTTAATAATTCACTGTGCTTACATTAAGGTGTATTTTAGGATAGTGACTACATTCCAGACGAATTTCTCACCAGTGATTCAAGTGATGATGAGGAAGTGGTAAGAAAAAAAGTATTTACAAAAAACATTAGTAAAACAATAACATAAACTTTCAGTGTGATAATGCTTTTGAAGAAGAACTTAGTTTACCCCAAGAAAGTGAGACTGCACCGAATGACATTGAATTAAAATACTCTCAACCAGTCAGCAGTGAATTATCACAGTACCTGCCACCAGATGAATTAGAAATAATCAACAACTGTAAGGATCCAACACTCAAGCAACTGCTGATATTGAACCGTACGAAGAAGCTTCAATTTCAGAAGCTGAATCACAAATATTGTGGTGTGCTTGCAAAAACTGACAGACTCTTGAGGAGAGCCAGAAATGTTGATCAATTTATAAGCATAGTTAAGGAGCACAAAGGTTTTCGACACAGAATAGGATATCCCTTCTTCAAAGAACAAGGCACAGACTTATCATATCCTCCATTGAATGCAGATGCACTCAAGAAAGCACAGAACAAAGAACTGAACTTTAACTTGATCAAAGTGAGAATTGTTTGGAACAGATACTCACCCATCAATCTAAAATCTGATGTGCTCTTTAATTATTTTGATAATAAACTGCAGAAATATGAAGGGGATCTGAAAGCAGCCAAATATAATTATGATGAAGAACGGGAAGAAGAGATCAATGAGAAAATCAGAGAGTGGAAAGATGAGTTTGATTGTTTGGAGCCGCCATCCCTGTGGGATGACAGTTGTTTGAGTTGGTCAAAGATTGCACAGAAACATCTTAAAGGTATGATAATATTTTATTAGGTATTTGATATTTTGCTCATTGCATTTTTCTTCAGATGCTGCACTGAACGATCTATGTCGGGCGTACTGGAATCTGTACGCCCATCCGAAGATCAATAAAGCTCCATTAAATGATTCAGAATCTAAACGTTTGGTTGAAATATGCACGAGAAACCAATTATGTAATTGGGAAGCGATTGCAAAAGAGTTCTCGGACGACAGATCTCCATATTGGTTGTTCTGCTATTTCTTCAATGTGATCAATTTTAAAGGTCTTCGAAGCAGGAAATCGAAATTTAACGAAGTAGAAGATTCGTTTTTATTGTCTATTATAGAATCGCAGAAGGTTGGAAATTCTATTGCTTGGACTCGGGTCGCGGATTTGATCAAGAATCGAAACAAGTCTCAGCTTTACAGAAGATACATGTACACAATGAGAAATAAGCACGTGAAATGCGGACCATTCTCGGAGGCTGAAGACGTGCTGATCATGTGCTTGTACAAGACGCACGGTTTAAACTTTGACATCATCATGAAGTACATGTCGCATCGTAGCAAAGATCAAGTTCAGAGCAGATTCAGGAATTACTTGCAAAACGATAAGTTGAACATCACCAAGTGGACCATCCCGCATGATAAGTTGGTGCTGGCACATGTGGAAGAGCACGGAAAGAAGAACTGGCCGATCATTGCGAAGCAGCTCAACAGGTCGGATGCGCACGTGAGGCACAGATACAATGTCTTGAAGAAGTATCTGGATAAGGGTGTTCCGCTCGAGGAGATCCCGAGAAAGTCGCAAAACTCAAAGGATCGCGTACATACGAAGCAGGCAGTCGACTATTATTTATCGACGAAAACGTTGCCGCCGGTTAGGGAGGAACATTCCGTAGGAAGACCACTACGATCGTACGTCGACTGCGAATTGGTGAATTTCTTCAGATCGACTTCGGGCATTAGGAAAGCGCGCAAACTGAACTCGATCACCGACTTCAAGCTGAAGCTCTGCGCCAAATCGATACAGACCGTGCTCGATGCTCTTGGTGCTGTTTTAAAAATACCAACTGATTTAAATTCAGAAAAGTCATTGACCGTCTTGGACAGGGATATACTGAACATCTTGAGAAATAACAAGAAGCCAAGCACACCAAACACAGAGTTGACATTGATTCCTCCTAACATCAATACTGTCCAAGCTTGCAGAGTATTACTTCTAAAATACCGAAATATGCCACCGGAGCCACCATCATCTCCCTACCTATCGCAAGATTCCCTAAAATTCCAAAGACGCTTTAAATCTCTCTTCTACTGGCCCTTTCTAATGTCCATTGTATTACCACCAAACGACCTATTGGACGTTAAACGGAGGCCACCTCCCCCTGCGCCAGTCAAACCAGTTGGAAGACCGCGGAAGAATTTGGATAAAATCAACAGAATGGCAGAATTAAAACGGAAGAAGACAGGTAATTATTATCAGATTGTTCGTTTAATTGTATTAATTATTTTATTGTTACTGCAGAGATGAATGCAGCCAACGCATCAGTACCTTCGTTTAAGGTTATGCCGGTGATAGAATCTAGTCAAATAAGTACAGCGTCGGTTGCAAACATGGAAACAGTCATTAGTAATATACAGAAGGAGACTAAAGGTAATTATTTGATCAAAATCGATAAAGCGACGATGGAGAAATTGCGTAAGAGTAGCAAAAAGGTTATTGTTCACATGAAGCGTAAGATAGAGGATGAAGATGAGAATGGGATTGCTACGAAATCGGCCAAGTTGGAGCCTGTAGCATCTACGAGCGGCACTTATGATTAACTCACTCACCTGTTACATGTTATATTTATTGTTAGAAAAAATATATATTTTTGAAAATACCTTTTCTATTGTTTGTATATAAAGAATAATAAATGGAATGAGAAAGATTGTTGTTAAATAAATCAACGTTTAATGAGAATACGTTTGTTTTTTAAACAAAAAGTGATTACATCAAATTTATATGACGATTATTGAAATAAACGCAAAGAAAACATACAAAACGAAATAAACAAATCACAGAAGTGCAACAAAAATATAAACTCGGTTTTAGATAGAAAAACTGTACTCGCTAAGAAGAATACAGAGTAGAGTCTCGAATATATAATAATTATCAAGATCGATTATGAAAGAAAAACAACATCTAGATTCCTTCCCTTAACACTATATCTATGTTTATTGTACAAACACACAAACGAGGGGTGCGCTTCGCCTGGTTCAATTGTAGTAGTTGTAGTACGTTCTTCTAAATCCGACTTGGTTTTAAAAATGTAAGTGCATTTCTTCGTCTCCGATTATTGGAACTTATCTGATGGTGATTACGGCGCAACCGGCCGTGAATGCTGCCCAGATCAAAAGCGACGCTTCCAGCTGGACAGTCGACTTTCTGATGGCATCCAATCCCTGCTTCCACAGAGGATTCACAGGTTGTTTGCTTGCCGTGGGCATCAAATTCCTGGCCCTTAGGTAATCCACCAGAGTGGGCGAATCTTTGGTGAAGGCCGGGAAGTATTCACGGACGCGTTCTCGAACCCACCACGTTTGCGTTTTCCTGCAGAAGAAAAAAAGAGTTCAAACTCATTTCTTGTTGATTAAATACCGTTGTGATTATATGTACCTTTGAGTCCAATCGGAGAATTTGTACTTGTACAAAGTAGCCCTAATGTACTTTGGTGGTTTTTCGAAAGGTGATGAGCCCATCAGAGCTAACACTTCGGGTCTTCCTTCCAACAGTCTGTGCGTCAAAGACAGCAACCACGGTTGCTTCTCGTAGGTGCTGTGAGCCGCGGACCACATCTGCCAATCCAATCTCGGGGAGTGCGGAGCTACGATTAAGTTTTTTATTTAATTAAAAGGTAAAATTTAAACTTTTAATATGCTTACCGACGAAGGGTAGCGAATGATTAACATTGCCTGGTTTGTACAGGAAATCATATTCGGTCCAAGGTCCCTCCAGATGGTTGGAACCTTCCAAAACTATTTCGGGTCTCCCGTCGGTTCCGGTCACACTCTTTGCCTGGCCGTAAGCGTTGATTGCGTGGATCTTGTGCAACCTTTTGAAAGCCGTTCGAACTTGCTCGCTGAGGGTGTTGTTGGTAGTCGGATGGTGCGAATACAAGGGCACCAAACTGGCGCTGAACACCAGGAAGGCGAGAGCAGCGTACAAGAAGGCGCATATCCAACGGAAGATACGCGACATAAAATTGCCATCAAGAAATGATGCGACAAAAGACTTCAACATGAGTATCGCTAAAGTCAAGAAACCAATGTAGTAAGAGGCCTTGACCATGAAGAAACTTGCCATTTTGAACTCTTCCTTGCTGAATGCTGTAACATAGTTATATTATTAGCACCGATAAGAATATGAATCGAGATTTGTTCTTACTGAATGTGGGAATATATCCTTTACCAGGGAAGGTGCATAACGTGGTGATACCCAAGAGAGTGCACGTGAAGATGACGAAGGACAAGGCGGTGAGACCTTTCGAATTCTTCCCTTTGGGCTCTCCGATAAAATAGTAATCATCGAAGAGCGAAATCATCAAGGCCAGAATGAGGGCGTTCAGGAAACTGAAATTCCCGGTTATTATGATGAAAAATTGTAGAACTCCCTGAGCCGCGAAAGCTATATATCTGGTGCTCCTGATCGGCACGAAGAACAGGAATGGAAAGGCGATTTCGCAGATATTTGCATAGAGCATGGCGTACTTCAGGGCCACCTCCGGAAGGTGGTGAGCGTACCACGACAGAGGTGTAGGTAGAACCATCCCTTGGAAATGGTAACCCAACGCTGCAATAAACATTATTAGAAACTCATCATAAATTGTATTTGTTTCAGATGTCGTACCGGAAAGATCCCACCATTTCGGATCGCCGCTCAAGAGTTTAACGACTCCGGTGGTGAAGAGGAACCTGAAGAGCAACCACAGCGGCAACCAAAAGACGACCGGGTCGATGGGCGATTGTTTTCCTCCGCTGTTCCTTACCCGCAGGATCGGAGCAATCAGCAAACACAGAAAGCCAACCTCCAGCAGAAGGTCATCCCTAGAGAAGAACGAGGTTACTTTCACGAACGAATGGAGGTTGCCTTCCGTAATACTAAACTGGAACGCATCGGGTTTCCAGCTAGCTGTATTAGTGACAAATATTGGATTGCATCGCGAAATGCGCTCACCATTGCGATGTTACGAAGACCTGACCGACCTGGTACAGGGAAAAGTAGAGCGACCACAGGCCGCCAAATAGCGGCAGTCTGCAAATCTTGTAGGACACGAAACTGCAAAGAAAACGAGATGTTGGAAAAGATAAACAAACAGAAAGATCGATTGCAAACTTTGATACTTTGACATTCACAAGAACAAACTTATTTCTTTTTTATGTAATCATTATTCGTCATTGAAATGCACTCACCTATTCGATTAAATCACAATTAAAACGGTCCGAAAGAAACTGCGCGTATTTTTAGTGTGCATATTGACCCCACCGAAAGTTCGTTACTAAATTTAAACCAGATTTTCGTTATGATCTATTTATATACATTTTAAATCTTTCTCTTAGTATAAAGACACCGATGAATCGCATTGTATTTTAACAAAACATTAAACAACTTAAATGCCTCATTGTTCTCGATAATATTGACTTCCTGCAAATACAGACGCATCCAAACAAATATTAATGTGAAATTTGTAAATATAAAAAAATATTAATATTCGAAGTACTAAGTTTTAGATGCTAAATGAAATTAACAATTATTTCAAACATTTCTAAATATCGAATATGATTCACAACAGTAGTAGTTGGATGAGAGCGGATTCCGTTAGTGAAAGTCAATAATATTTCGATTTTTGTTTCCGCATTTCATGAGCACAGCCGAATGCTGCTTTATTTAGTTTCTAGTGGAAATAAGTTCATTAATTATACCCGTTAAACAAGCACACGTTGTTGGTTCATCGTACCATCCGACACGAGTTGGATGATCATGAATTTCGGTACAATAAAAATTTATTCTTTGAATATTTTTAAATAATTAAAACTTAATCTCGCGTTTTTTTTTTGTTGGTCTATAATGATAGGTGGATCGAATGAGTCATCGTTTAATTATAAATTGTTTTCTTTTGCAGCTGGATAAAGGCTATCATCTTCCAGATGCGCTTTATCTTATGGCAGAGTTTGCTAGATTGCGGAGCAAAAATAACTATTATGAAATACCATTGGTATTTCATTAGGGACTTACCCGCTGAAGGCCAAAAATGCTCCGAGAAGGGCTAAAACGTCGAGAGCGTAGTTGGTATCTAGGCCCAAGTAAGGTGCCAACCAGAGCAACGTGGGTTGATAGTGGACCTTCGTCGAGAGGGTCTTGTGCTTGCTATTCTCCAGGACGGATTTGGCCGGAAGGACGCCATTGTCACCGTAGAGCCCTTCGATATAATACACATACATACATTCAGTTATTCAAGATAGGATGATACGTTAATTGAAGCAGAAAATCGATTTGTCCCAAGGGACACACACGTACCTGGTATTTGCACGTAGAACGAGATGAATGCGAACAGATAGACGACGCACACCGCCCTCAGGAAGATGTTGCGCGTATACTTGACGGGGGTCGTAGAGGAGAACCTCTTGGCGTACTTAAGGAAAGACATCCTCCTTCGCTCGTCCCATACACACTATTCCTCGCTACGGGAATCCAGTTTTTCGCCGGCACTGCCTCTCTTCTGAACGCTGTCGACGCGTAAACATTCACACATCCAGCACCCGACCCCAAAAACATCGTCGGAGTGCGCAAGAACGCGGAGGCGGTCCCAAGGTGCGACTACATTCGACCAGCTCAATCCTCCATCCATCCGCCACCTCCTGGACAATACATTTATTCTGCTGGTCCGGCAAGTCTTCGTTTCCTAAATAAAAGAATGATCATCGCTTCCATCCAAAGAATGACTTCCTATTTATTCAAGCCAATAAATATCCAACATCTTGGACCTATGAAAAACTATCGACGATGACCATACTTCTGTCACACTAAAATCCCAATGTTACATATATTCAAATTAAATTTATATTACAATTGAATTGTTTGTTAAAAAAAATATTTGATTTATTCCTGCTTAATAGAACATAATTACAATTAGCTATGGTACAATTCATGAATGTTATTGAAACCATGAACAATTAGAAATATTATTGTAAGCAATTTATAGTTGAAACATTGTATATTATGATTTTGCGTTCCAAAAAGCTGAGCTGTTTTATGGTATAGTTATTAGTAGTCATGATACACAGCAATGTATATTTGCATTTATTAATAGTAGTAGTGTATGCATTTCTTATATTTCTTTTGTAACTTTATCCAATTAGGTTCTTCACCCATACGTATCGTATTAACATATATAATGATTATTTGTATAATTGGTTTTGATTTGAATTTACAAGTATGTGAAGGGTGCGTCACAAAAATCGATTTCATGAGAACCGTAAGGGTAGGAGTTACTTTACCCCTTACGTTGTGTTAATTAACATCGTAGCAATTATAAATACTATACATAACATTCATATTTGGTTACACAAACCAATTACATAAATGTTTATATAAACCTGTTTCTCTGCCGCACAATTTATTAAACCATTTTTTTTATTATAGGCAACCATATATACATATACATCAAACATTTTAAAAAAATCTTTAAAATTGTTAGAGATGCTTAATAAATTATTCAAATAGTAAATAATAAATTCCATTTGAGATTTCTATCCTCGCATAATAATCTTTACAAGAATTTCAAACATTTCGCACCTGACATCTGTCAAAGCAGATTAGCATACCACAAATTCCTTCTTTTTTTTTTGGCACTGATGACAAATTCTTCGATGATCGTCGCCGAAGAACCACCGTCAAGATTTTGGTGTTAATCAAGTGATCATTGCATGTTTGTTTTTATTTGGAATTACCATCTTTCTGTAGGATTTAATTGAGGCGTTTTCGGTGCAATCGTCGAAGCGCAATTCGTGGATGGGGTTTCGCTGTTTTGTAAGGATTCAATTACATTAATTGCGCTGGATTGAACGTTAACATTTTTTCGATCCGCAAAGCAGTTCCAGGCATTCCGCAATCACGGATTCTAAGTGGCCACCGTTGCAGACCACCTATGGGGTTGTCATTTGAGGCAGTCCCGGGGGGACTGCAATCAGTATGGGTAGCTGTGTGGGCAGATGTCTGCCCAGAGCGGACAACCCATTCACGAGCAGGTGCAACAGCCTTGATTTCACATTCCTCATCGAAGATGTAAGCTTTTGGTATTGATTTTATTATAGTGATTGCAATTTCTTTGTTCTTTCAGAATTCGTCTTATCAGGAGAAGGATAGTAGCAAAAGGTGAGGAGGGAAAGCAATGATCTAATTTTCTTATTATTTTGCATTAACATCTGACCCATGTCTGATTTACATGCTTGCATTCAATAGAGGTTTTCTGGCTAGGCTCTTTGCTAAGAGAAAATCTCGAAAGAAACCTAAGGTAAAACTTTACATATTATATTAATGCACCTTCTAAATCCTCCTACCAATGTGGAAACTAATTGCACAGAATTAATTTGCATATGTAATTTACATGAAAAAACTGAAGAATATTTACATTACAGAACTAATTGAAATTAAATGGAAATGCCAATTCACTTAATTGATTTGATATTGTTCCATGGAATTTTATGCATTTTTATCTTATTGGAACATGGATATGCATATTGCAGATAAAACTAAATATTCTAAATGAACTTTCAATATGTAAATTGAATTGATAATTTATTTTTTTTGTTTAAATTCTAGAAACCAGTCTTGGAGTTTGTAGATGAAATGTTGAACCCCCATGTAACTTGTTACAGTAGATTAAGCGAATCACAACGATTACCAAGTACTAGGTGAATTATTTTAACTTTAATCTTCCGTATGTTATTGAAGTATTCGTTTGTAGCTCATACAACAGCAGAGATATCCCTTTACAATGTTTGGACGCGAAAGCGCTTTTAGCCCACACGACTGCCTCGACGCCGTTGAGTTCGTTGGATTTGGAATGGGAGCACGAGACGTTGCCGATTTCGTCGGCGCAGGATGCTTCTGCAGGAAGTTCTTGGTGAGATTCGGGGCGAAAAGCAATTGATGATTGTTGATGATTGTTTTCTTTTAGGACTGCCATTCCGGATGATACCATCAGCCAGAGCGAATCGATCACGAACAACGCAGCAATAGCTGCGAACAACAATAGCGATTCGGACTGGTCGAGGGTGTCTTCGGCGAATTCTCTGGAATGGGATAGCGTGCAGCATAGCTACCATCCAAGTCCTCCGGCCTCTGAAATAGACACGGACACGCAGCTGCTCCTAACCGAGATCGAACGGCTAACAAATCAAACTTTACAAGAGACTGGTAAGGAATTATTTAGCTGATCAATGTATAAAGTTACTGGGTTGGGGGGAGGAAATGATGGTTGATATTTGTATATACTTATATATATATATTTAAAACAAAATGAAACAGGAAATATATATTTTTATGAAGAATATTTGCCCTCCGGAGCATAGTTTGTCCAAATATGTAAATAACGATGGTTTGGAACGTAGTTAGATCATGATTGATTTATCTAGCTACGAGGATTTGAACGCGGTAGAGGAGGGAAGAGCGGAGGGACCAAGAGAGAAAGAAATAACGGATTATAAATATATATATATTATACATACGTGCTTGTTTTTTAGTAGTGGGGGCCTTGAAACAAAAAAAAAAAGAATGTGTGCTATTCAGTAGTAGTTTTACGCTTGTACTGAATTCCTTTCAGAAACAGTGAATTTGTGAAAATGCCTTATTTATTATTATTGATAATTAAATATCGTTGCATGTACTCTTGTTGATGTTACCAATTCTAAAACGTTATTAAAGATGAATGTTTACCTAAAAGAGAATGATGTACCATATTTTCAAAGGTTAATTGGAGATGATTTAAAAAAAAAATGCTTGCCTTAAGTCAATTATAATTGATTTTTTTTTTGAGATATCATTTGTAATGATCGTTAGTTATAGCTATGTATGTAGTTTATATGATCACGATTGGCGGCGGTCGTTTGAATCGAGGATTGGCGCCAATCTTTCCGAGTTTATATACATGTTGTAAATACACATATAGATTAAAGAGGATAAACCTTAAACGAAACCCACATATCATCCCTGTACCAAAAAAAATATAACAATCAGAAATAAAATATTCACATTTAAATATTGTTGTAATTACATTTGTATACAGTTTCTTCCTTGATTGCTATTAAAACAAATTGTATATGAGATTATTGTGATTTGGGAAATTAATTAAAAGTCGGTAGGAACGAAATAATATTATATATTTCTTATCACAGCAACGCGTCGATGTCGTAATTCGAGTAGCACCAGAATTCGTTTCCCAAATTGTTCGTGTGGTGCGGTTCGAACTTCTCCGATTTGTTCAAATCCAATAATCTTTTAGCAGTACATGCCATAACAGCACCTAAGAAGTAAATGTTATTCAATGGATAAATGAGGGATGATACCACCTACCAGTACATAATATCAGTTTCTCCTTTGATATGTACTTCATAGTCACCGAAGTCTTCGTCAGGCATTCGTCGGAGAGGAACGGCGGATCGGCTATCACCAAATCGTAGTAGTTCGCTTTATCTCTGGGGATGTTCAGCGGGTTTTTGTAATCGTACAAAATAAAGTCGGACCCGAATGAAGCGAATCGCCGATCGTATTCGTACACGTGAACTGCAACCCTTTAATAATTAAATCTTTAAAGTAACGAAATTCAATTTGGAATTGATCTACTTTCGCAGTCTGCTGAAGCCTCCTGTTTCATCTTCTTGTACAGCGTTGGGCATGAAATCAAGGCTATCCTGGCTTTTTGTCCAACTGTCTTCAGAGCCAACTTGACCAGGGTATCTACAGTAGCACTGTCATACCAAAATTGACTCAATTGCTGCAATTTAAAGATATTTAAAGTTACTTCTTATTAGAAAAAAAAGAAAGATTAAAATTACCCAATCTTCATCAAAATGCTGCACTTCAGGCTGATCAGAGTTCAGTTTGCTCATGATGATTTCCTTTTCCTCCTGCTCCTGATAAAACTGCTGGAGAGCTGCGAACGTCTCCGCAGAGAGTTGCGGCAAATCCTCGCTATCGGACATCGCCAATTCCAGTTCAATTAGTTGGAGTTCCAATTTGAAAATCGCACAATTTTGTGGTTATGCACCACCACCACGTGATAACTGTCAGTGTCAGATTTGACACTGACATTTAAATCGGTGCTGCCAACCAACCGGTTCTTGTGATGTGATCACAATAATGATTTGTTTACAAGTTTAGTTAGCGCTTTCGTTGTGACAGGAGGGCGGCGGCGCCACCCGTATTTTGGCCTGGATCTGCAGGATCAGAAGAGCGGGGGATTCCGATTCCGACCAGACAACGTCGCCGCCGCCGCCTGCTGTCGATTCGTCGTCGAGTATTATTGTTGTTTGTGGTGTTGCGAATCGAGCAGGAAATACTGGATCTGGTGGCATGATTTACCTCTTGGTCCTCCTGCAAGCCGTGCTCGTTAACCTGGTGGTGTCCGTGTCGCAGCATCCCGTCCTGCTGATCGTGTCCTACGATGCGTTCAGGTACAACTACTTCGATAAGAATGGCTCCAGGTACATGGAGAAGCTCAGGAAGGAAGGCACCTATGCAGATTACATGATCAACGTGTTCCCCACAAAAACGTTCCCCAATCACCACAGCATCGCCACTGGACTCTTCGCTGAGAGTCATGGGGTTGTGGACAACTCCTTCCACGACCCAAAGCTCAAGGAGTTCATCAGCATCAAGAATGAGAAGATGTGGCATTACAATGACGACATTCTTCCCATCTGGGTGAGTGAGCCCCACATATTTTCTTTGTTGCTATAGAAACTTATTATATAATAATTGAAAGTTTATCACATTTAATAATTCACTTCATCTATATTTAGTTTCAAGGTTTGTGTTTGCTTTACACAAATTATTTAAATTGTTGCATTTCCTATTGATTAATTGAATTGAAAACAACAGGAAAATCAATATCAACAAAGAATTGAAAACAAATTGAAATAATGTGTTCTCTTATAAATTATTCAAACATGAAACATATGCTACTAATTACTAATTAGACTTTTTTTAAAAATGTTTTTTTCATCAAAGATAAGTAGTGTATTGTAATTTTATTATCTAATTTGTTATTACAGTTAATTGTTCATGGAATAATGAATTGCTATAAATACAGCTACAAAAGTATATAAAGATGATAATTAAAATTAAATATATTTTTTTAAGCAGATGATAATTAGTACTTAAAATAATAATTATTGATTACAGTGCAAATAAAAACTTTAAATTAAAAATTTTAAATGCAAATTATGACCTTTATTTTCACTTTTGTCATATTTATGTGCAAAAATGTAAATATTGTCTCAAGGCATAAGTTGTGAATATAAAAATATTATCAAGTAGTTTTGGAAACCAAATTTAATAACTTAATTGTTTATCTTTTGTTTTGTGACTTTTTTGTACGAATTGGGTCACAATGTTATGATTATCTGGGAAATATTTCTTTTCGGCCTTGATAGATTATTTATGTAACAATGAGGGGAAACGTCCACTGTTCATCATTTATTGACTTAGCAGGAATAGTTTTAACCGTATTGTGTATTTGCTTCGGCTTATCAGATGTTCGGAATTTACATGCAGCAAAATGTTGCGTCAATACAAAAAGACCACACGTTTCGTCTTATCTTTCTACGTCTATTTTACGTAAATGCAAATGTATGTAAATAATTTCGCTGAGGGCATTTGAAAAGCCACGAAGGCCAATTGTCTATTGACCGAGTATTGTTTTCAATTGTACACCCAAATTTAAAATTATTTTGTATTATTTCAATAAAATTGTTATATGTATTTAATTCATTAATATGTTTGTTTAAGGCTCTGAATGAGAGGGCGGGAAATACTAGGTATTCTGGTTCGATGATGTGGCCTGGAGCATCTTACAAGTACCAGAACAAGAGAGTCACCCATTTGAAGGAATGGGAGTACAATTACGATTGGCATAAAAGGGTCGACACGGTGAGAATCTCAAATATTACAGAAGATTGTTTAAATGTCTTTTGATTTAGGTGATTTCCTGGATAAAGGATCCCTCCAAACCGGCGAATTTGGTGATGCTATATTTCGAGGAACCTGACTCGGAGGGACACGTCTTCGGGCCGGAATCCGACGTGGTGTTCCGCACTATTCAAAAACTGGACAACATCACGCAATACTTGGACGTAAGTTCAATTTCAGGAGAAAAGACAATTTAGATTTTTTAAAATATGTTTTTTTTTATTGTCAGGAACAAATTAAAGCGAATAAATTGAAGGACGTGGTGAATGTGGTGCATCTCAGTGATCACGGCATGACGACGGTGAAGACGCCCAACTTGATTGACATCACCAAAAATTTGAAGCCGAACACATACGAGATAACTGGTGGCACTCCGTGTTTGCATATTATCCCAAATGCCGGTTTGTTATAACGTACAATTTCGTATTTGAATTCTCGTTAAATTCGTTACGTTTTATTAGAAAATTTGGAGGAAGCTTACACGAACCTGAAGAAGGCGTCAAAGGATAACGGGCATTTTAACGTGTACAAAAAGAAGGATCTGCCGCAGAAGTGGCACTTTAAGGAGAACAGACGAACACCACCGATCTTCCTATTAGCCGACGAGGGTTACGGCTTCCAAGACCTCCTGGAAAACGGCAAAGAGTACGCCAAAAAGTATAACGTAGAGTGTGAGTTCTTGTATGCTCTTAATGTTTGAATCAAGTCTAATTGTTTCAATTGCAGTCAATGAAAATTCTTCCTTCGGCGTGCACGGATACGACAACGAACTCCCAGATATGCATCCATTCTTCATGGCGCGCGGACCGATGATCAAGGTGGCTCACAAGGTACCGCCCTTCCATTCCGTCGATCTGTACAATCTGTTCTGCAACATCTTGGACCTGAAAGCGCAGCCCAACAACGGAACCTTTGCCAACGTTCGCGACATTCTCGCAGCGACCAAACCTTCTTCAGGACTCTCTACGCTGGGTATAGCAGGTAAATCGCAATTTTCTATTGGTAAAAAGGTGGCGGATGCTAAAGGCAGAACGTAGAATAACATTTAGTGAAATGCTAAATATTCAAAGTAGGAATAAGTACATAAACGTTGGCTATGCAATAAGGAATCGAGTGAGCAAGAAGGAGAAGCTAATAAATTGATTTTCTCTTATTTCTTGTTTATTTTTCTCAAGACCTCGAAATCTCGTTATAACGTGATTCTCTCTGATGATTGCGTAATTAGCCGAGATTATTTTCAAGGTCGAATATATTAAAATTAATAATTGCCAACTGAAATTTGTACCAATTTTATATAATTTTTTCTAATGTGTTTTCTTTTTAATTTGCAGTGGGAGCTGTTGTTGCGGCGATCCTTTTCATCGGTTGCGGGGCGGCAATTACACTCTTTTTGATCAAAAGGCAGCAGAGTATCACGACGGCGGCGGCGCTTAACAAACGTTTCCCTCAGACCTTTAGCAATGCGAATATCGAGGCGCAACACCTGCTGGAGCCGGAAGACGCGTGAGTCGTCAGCCGATTGGCTGACATCCAATTGTAGGGGTGAGGCGAAGGGCGGTGCCTGCATTTTCCCTGTTCTTTTTATTTGTACGCACGACAAGGTTAGTGCCAAAGGTAATTTATAATGCGCGAGGTATATTGACTCGCGGAATGTACGCAGTATTTAGAGCAAATATTTCAGTCAAATTCCCATTTTATCTTCGTTCCGCGAAATTACATTCATTCGCTTGCCGAAGAAGATATGAACACAGTTTGTGTTGTTTTATTTTAATCATCGCTCACTGAATACTAGGTCAGAATTGATTTCGAATGCGAGCAAAAATCAATCTGACAAAATAAGTCCGGTTTTATTTTATGGAATTTTAAAAAGAAATCTCACTTGGATTGATTGAATCGTACTAATTTGTGATTTTCTCGTTTGAGATTGATATAAGTGAATGTTCGTTCTGTAAGTCTTGTAAATATAATTAAGAATTGCTGTGCATTTTATGGAACAATCATTAGTTGTATATATTTGTATGGATATATATATATTTGATATAATAAGGCCCAAATGGTATAAGAGTATATTTATAATATATATATATTAATTGACTTGGGAGACGAGATGACGGGAGACCGGGTAAATTGGTTTAACCTCTCCGCTTCTTCAAGTTCGTACGATATTATTAGTATTAATACATACATACATATAATATATACAACATACATGTGAAACCCGTGTGATATAACTATCTTTATATTTTTATTATTACAATTGTATAATCGGAAGTGATATTTTTTATATCTTTCACCCCACGCACTAAGTACACACGATTTACCGTGTGTATATATATAAATAATGTTGTATTTTAAGACACTTTTATCATTTATTTCCCAATCTCAATCGTTGAGCCATAACCATTGCGCAACAAGTATAAATAATAGCTTCGACAAAGTTAATGAAATTGCGCTTAGCATTAGTAATCCAGTATGTTATTTCGTTGTTTATACATTCAGTTTGAGCATTAACGGCTTGGGATTGGGGAACCGTTCGTTCTTTGCACTTAATACTGATTATACAAGTTTTATTCGCGTAGGTTTAGGGTTTAGCAACTGAAATCCATCCAAATTCATTGAATATTTTATTACGGTTGTTGTAGTATAATTTAGTTAGGATGCCAAAGTATCTGAATCCCCCCCTCAAATTTGTGTAATTCACGATCGACAATACATTTATATAGGCCGAGTGTTCGTTCGTTGGCCAAAAAATTCGCATGCTCAGTTCGTTGTTGTTGTTGTCGTCCACCTCGAACAAACTAAACCGAGTCTTGTAATAGACTAGGTCTCAGTCATACTTTGCCACTCGCAATCTCAAAGCATTGTTATCTAATATATAGGGATGAGCGGATAAGTTTGTACATATTGCTCAAAGAAAATAATTAGCTGAACATTTCAACAAAGTAGACTTGGATTATGTCCGGCGCTCGACGCGCCGTGTACGTTTCCAAACTTAGTTAGGCGTTAAGTTTATTGTTAGTCGTTAAGTAAGTGAGAAGACGATTTATTGTAAGTGTTTCTTGGCTTCTCAATATAATGTAGACGACAGCTGTTGTAACCATTCAAACTAATGGATGCGGTTTACATTTTTTTTTTAAATTGATACTTACATAATAACTAAGCAGGCTTGTTTCCTAGCGTTAGTGGTTTATTGGTTATTTAATAAAATACACTGGTACAATTGTACAATTATTTTAACCATCCTCTAATAACTCATTAACTAAGTTATACAATACCGCAAAATCTGAAATTAGATTCAAATTTTTAAAGAAAAAAAATCGTAATAGTATCTCACGAAATAAACAGATGCCGCTCATCGTAAACGCATTTTCAATGATATCTAAATAAACAATTAACCAAATCAATAATTAATTACATATTTATCTGCCAGCTATCGAAACCAATTAAATTACAATGTAATTATTACATTCAGACGTGTTTTTAACAATTCCGTTCTTACTTTTGGTGTATTTGGGTATGTTTGGTTGCATACCCATTAACATTAACAGCGCCAAAATTGCAGAACTAAAACAACTGTGATGAATAAAAAATAATTAGAATTTTGAAAATATATACAAACTAATTGATTTAATTTTCAAATTGTTGTATTAAACAATACACATTATATAATCAATTGAGTTTATTTTTTTTTAAATACTTTATTTATTAAAATATTTTATATTCGTGGATTATAATTTCTTCTTGCATGCACTTTTACAAATACTGATCGTGTTTCATTAACTTCGGAAGATGAACATGTTTAATTTTGTTTTTTTTTTAAATACAACATTGACGTTATGAATACTTGTAATTACGTCCAATTTATATGAGAATAGTGGTCACAATTATTATTTTTCTTTGGATTTGAGTTTAGGGTGATTGCACATCAAGCAATTTACGAAAAGATTGGAAATATTTGGGATAGGCAAGATGTGTTTCCACTGTCCTCATACAAAGTGTGTAATAGTATTATTTAAACACATATGTATATATTTATGAATCACACATAAGTAAAATTGACGTCAAAGACATAACAAAATATATATATACAAATAATATTATTGTTTATATATTGCTGGCATTAATAATAATAAATATAATTTATTGTATACATGCATATACATACATAAATACAAACAATTTGAAAACAATTAGAAATAATTGATATTTCATTATAATAAAATATGATTTTATTTATATGTATAACGTTTATATTCTTGTATAGCCCGCTAACGGATGAATACAATATAAATCAGGTATCTTTTATAATAATTACAAACGAAACTAGTTGTAATAATAATCAAATTTACAATATATATATATGTGTAATATAATTCACATAGTAAAGGGCAAATGGATGACATTTATATAATATACTATGTATTTAATAATCGAAAAGGAATCAAATGGCACGTCAGCAAGGAACAACTTATATCAACAACTAATAGAAGCTAAACGTTTGCCGGGCAGCACACAACCCAATTCAATCAATTATAAGCAAAAACAAATAGAAAAACGTATCTACGTTCGGGGTATTACTCTCATTGCCTACTAATAAATAGTAGTGTGTACACACGGACTTACGAGACTGAAATTTAAATTGAGCAACAAAAAAAAAACTTTGTCTTTGTAACAACGAACGCGGGTAATGGTGATGGTAACAGCTAATTACACAAAATCACTATTTCAAAACTGAAAATATAATGATCATACCCGCCGTTGAATGTAGTAATGAATATACTTAGGTTTGCTCGTTATCGCCGCGGTTCCGCCTACCCTGTCGGATCTGATTCAAGCAGGCCAACATCCTGATCATGAAGGCGGCAGGAACGGTTATGGTATCCTTCGTTTCCTCCAGCATAATTTCGTTTCGCTTCATCAGCTGCAAAATTCGAACGATTAGTAAAACGTTTGGATGGTTTAGCGTAATAAGATCATCGTACACCGTGCGCATGAACGCGATCGAAATCGTTGTCCTCCAGTATGGGACCCCAAATTTTGATGTCATGATCTATACCGCTGGTAGCTAAATATGGCAAAGTTGGATGCGGTTGAAGACAGTTCACGACGTGATTGTCGGCCTGGAGGAGCATCTCCAGTTCGGCCGTATGTCTGTTCCAAACGAAGACATGTCCGCAATCCGAGCCGGACATCACGTAATCGTTTCCCCAGAACGTAGCTTCTTTGATCATTGTGCTGAAAGGATAAACACTACCGATCCTATTACAATTCCTACACATAATATATTTCCCCAAACAGTACTAACCGCGCGTTCCTGTGACCCACGTATTTCATTTTCATCTCGGTTTCGAAGGTATCGTAGAAGCCGTCTCTTGCTCCGGGCATATTCGAATCGGAGTCATCATTGCAATCGCAATCATCGAAATCCACATCCTCATTCGAACTCTGCAAATAATTTATCTGATGTATAATGAAACTTATAAATTCGGACTGTAAATGAAAATAATTACGTTTCTACGTTGATCGGTGGATGTTCCCTCGTTTACATAGTTGTTGGTCGACAGGCTAATGGTTGAATTCGAGGTACTCTGTTCGGAGTACCTGAGACTAACGGACGGCTCAGCGCCGTGCTGCTCTATAAAACCCTGGCGTAAACTGCGCAAAATTGACAAACGGTTACGTAACTGCCTAGTGACAATTGATGTGTTTACTGTGGATGATACGGATTGGTTACTGTCTGAACTGGGAGATGCGGGTGTGTTATTTGAACTGAAAAATAATTACAAGACCCAACGTCAGCAGGCACAGACATCAAAAAACAAAAGAAAAACATATGTTCGTCTACAGGTTACCAGACATATATGCACATTTGTAAAATGTTTGTTAGCTATAGTTGATATTTAAAAAAAAAAATAATATTCTGGTAAATAAGTGAGAAATACAATGCTTTCACAAACCTCTGGCTATTTTCGCCACTCTCATCCATATTAACATCTTCGATAGAATCTTCGCTCCGCATTACCACATCTTCTTCTTCTGGAGCTGGCTCTACGATAACTGGAGGTGGAGTCAGCGGAAGGACAGGTGGCGGTAAATCGGGAAGAGCGTCCGCATCTATACCGCCGGGCTCGATTGGTTCTTGATCTTGAGGCTCTTCAGCAGGTCTCGGGTTTTCCGGATTTCCATGGTCCAAGGAATCTTCACCGCCAGCACTGAGGGCAGCCCTGGTCATGGGATCGTTCAACATTCGAGATAGTACATCGGTCATCCTTTGCATCAACGTGGTTTGCAGTTGTGGTCTCGCCTGACTGATCACGCCTACGATAAATTATATGATAAATACCATTCTTAAAGAGCTTTCTTGCGAATTTCAACTTACTGACGCTAGAAGTGGTCTCCCTTTCAGGTCTAGCATCTGGTCCAGTGTCAGACCAATCTCCGCGAAGTCTCAAACGCCTTACCGGAGGCGGCGACCGTCGCTCCCTTTTGGTGCCCATCTTATTCGCCAAATATTTGATCTTATCCCATTGCGAGAAGTGCGGTTTCTTGATCTCCTTAGTTTTGGCTTCCTAGAAAAAGTACAAATTATAATAACATATTCGATTATAAATTAGATCCACATACTCTTAATGTGAATAGGTAAAGATGGTCGCACGAATAGCTAACTAGCATATCCTTTCCGTCTTCGCTGTAACCCAAAGAAGTGATCCTGTACGGCCTTTCCTCCATTCTTGGTGCCATGAACGTGCAAAACGGCGTACCACCATTCACGTCTAATGAACATTGAGTTGAAAGCCAACGACGATCATATAGACGAACAGCCGAGTCTGAGCATCCAATGGACAAGTGATGGGTAGTCATAGGGTTTATGGCCAAAGCGGTAACTGCGCACGGCGTTGAAATCAACACATCTTCTCTGCATATGGTCTTGTTGCAGCTGCACGGAGAATAACAATTAGCGATTCGTTAACATATTCAGAATGGAAAACAAAAAGAAATTTTGTTAATGGTAAAACTCAAAACATATAATTTATACTTTTTTTTACTTTGATTTGATGCGAAGATCGAACCAGCGTACGGTGCCATCCTCGCCGCAGCTCAAGAAACTGTTGGGATCGTTCGGTATCGTGATCACCTCATACGTGGTGCCCGCATGGCAATTGAACTGGTTCTTCAAACTTTCCTTGGGCCTCGCCAAATCTAAAGAAACAAAATTATTTCTGTTTTATCCTTTTAGCTTCATTTAATTACCTGTATGCAAGAGGGTACCATCGCCGGAACACGAAACTATCTGCTGGTCATTATGGCAAGGCAAGAATTTCGCGCTGAAGATATTGGCATGATGGCTGGTGCGGTAATTGTACAAGACTTTGGAGTTGAAACCGTGCGTTATGACTAGATGCTGATCGTCTGATCCGGAGAGGATGTACTCGCCGTTGGAGCTCCATGCCAAAGTATTTACGCATCCATCGTGAACAGGCAATCTGTACATCAATCCCATCCGTTGTATAAAGTCGCGGTTATCTTTAACAAATAGTACATTATTAAATATAAGCGCTATTGTGGAGAACACATGAGTTACTACCTTTGGCATGACTGTAAATCATGGACCTATGAAGATGTCTGTAAGGCTCATAGTAGATGTCTTTGAAGACAGAGTTTTTCTGATTCATGTTGCCTTCTTTCTTCAAATATAAATCCTTCACCAAATCAATTCAGACCAGAGCAATCTGAAATCATAGAGTATTTCTGTAATGTTATTCCAAAAACCCTGAAAGATGACCTCATCTTCAACAATTTGTTTACTCTCACATACCTTGAACCCACCAACAACAAGAACAATTTTAATCAAACTCAATATCAAGACTGCTAAACAGCAATTTTCCAATGAAAACATATGAACTGACAAATTGATTAAACATACCTTAGCACCATGACAACACATTGTTTTAATCATATTTTTTTTTTGATAACAGACATGATTACAATAACAAACAATAAAACAAAAGATATAACTTTTGTACTACTACAACAAGGGTTGTTTTGTTCTTACCCATTTCTCCACTGATAATTTATTGCAAGCTGACAAATTGATTGGAGGTAAATCAATAATATTAATATGAAGAAGTAAAAAAAAGACACACAAAGTCGTCGATTTGCGCCCGATGTTTCGTACTACCCGGAGACAACCAAGTCCAATGTTTATTTTTGGGCTGTACCATTTAAACCCTCCATTTGCATACGCCTTGCACCATATGAGTGAGGAACGCGAGCACCGTGGAATTATTTTTAGGTCGAATTTTGCGTAATTTGTATAATGAATCGCGAATTATTTGTGTGTTAGAGCCAATATGTGTGTATAAACTTTCTGTGTGTGCAGATACTTCACATTTTTTCTGACAAATGTCAGCTGTGTTGTGTTTGTCTCTCTTGCACAAACAACAACATGCAACCCAACCATCATCCATGACCATTGCGATTATATAACTTTCATATAAGATATCCTTTAAGGAAAGAAACATCAACATGTTTTCATTTTTAAATCCAAATTATAACACATCAAAACTCTCAAAATATAAAGTATCCTATCCTTTATAATCATATTTTACACATTTGATAATTTTAATAATGAATTTTATCTTTTAATATATAATAAAATTTAAATAATTACAATAATAAATATTAAAATAAGCAAACTGCTTTTATTTGTTTGTGTTATGTGTTTGTTGTACCATAATTAATCAGTATAATTAATGAAATCAGCAGCAAATTACCTAAAGAAAACTATACAAAACTTTTTGAACGCAATGAACGTAGTTTAATATCGATTACTAGAGTTGGTGGATTCGTAAAGTTTGTGTTGGCAATTGTTACGTGAAAAATCATTATATCAGGGCGAGCTTCAGTCCGGTGGTTAACAACTATTTCGTTGCATAATATAATAAAGTCCAGCGAGCAGGAAAGCCCTCGAAGATGATCAAGACTGGGAATTTTTCCAAGCTCATCAAGTCCACTAGCCAAGTGGTGAGTAACAGTTACAAGACTAGCAACAAGGCTGCTGTCATCGGAAAGAAGGATGTCACCCAACCACCAACCTTGTTGTTAACCAATGGCAATTTGGCCAAGAGCTTGCCCACAGGCAACTTCTATGTGTGCTCTGGTCCTGGAGTCACCACCCAAGTCAGGTTTGCTCACACTGATATCAATGTGCCAGACTGGTCTTCGTACAGACGCCAAGACAAGAAGTCAACTGAGTCCGAAGACACCCGCAAAAACTTCACTTACTTGATTGCTGGTGCTGGCACCGTTGGCGGAGCTTATGCAGCTAAATCCGTCGTGACCCACTTCATTTCCTCAATGAGTGCGTCTGCTGATGTCTTGGCTATGGCCAAGATTGAAGTCAAGTTGTCTGACATCCCCGAAGGCAAGAGTGTCACCTTTAAATGGAGAGGTTTGCATATCTTCAATTAAGCACAATCAGATGTGACTAATGTGGTTGTGTTTTTTAGGTAAACCTTTGTTCATCAGACACAGGACTGGCAGCGAAATTTCCACTGAACAGGGTGTCCCATTGAGCCAGCTTCGTGACCCTGAGAGTGATTCTCAGCGTACCCAGAAACCGGAATGGCTCGTCGTCATCGGTGTGTGCACTCACTTGGGATGCGTGCCAATCGCGAACGCCGGAGACTTCGGAGGTTACTACTGTCCGTGTCACGGTTCTCACTACGATGCTTCGGGAAGGATTCGTAAGGGTCCAGCACCTCTTAATCTTGAAGTACCAACATACGTCTTCGCCGATGACGGCTCCCTAGTCGTCGGTTAAACGATCGACCTTTTTAAATCAATTATCTATATTGTATTTTATATTTATTTCCGACCCGACACCGAAATATAGAAGAATATAAAAGAGGTTCTGTTTCCATCAATGTTGAGATTCTTGATGAACCAAATGTGATTTTTTAGATGTTGGAATAGTAAATTACTACAATTAACGAATTGTTCGATTTTCTTTAGCATAAATCAATTGTTGAAACCATCCAGACATTTGTTGAATAATTCAACATCATCCTATAGGCTGCACATCTACAGCAAGTAAACTTCATACTTGATACTGGTTGAAAGTGTTTAGGATCTTGAATGAAATAAAATCGATAAAGAATGTTTAACAGCTACTAATTCTTATAAGCTTAATTATCTAGTAACAAATATCTTACTAAATACAATTTAAAGTAATAATTCAACAGTTTATAAGTATATATTTTGTAAGTTTCATTGTGGTTTCATAGGTCTAAATAATATAGTACGCTCTCTAGCAACTCGAGCATTTTCTAATTTACTGCAATGTTCAGAGATAATCTATGTAGATTAGTTCAAAACACAAGATTCGTAGGTGGGAATCAGGTATTTGATGTTGATGAACGCATCTTCACCGCCGTATTCCTCCAGAGTCTCGAGCGTTTCGTTGATAACGTCCGCCAAATTTTCTCCCTTCATCTGACTGTAGTCCAGTCCATCTCCGCAATTTACTAAACGATTGAATTGTATTAATACTAATAATAATATATAAAGAATACAAACCATTCTTCTCCTTGAATAAATTCAGAGTGGGCAAGAGTTGTCTGTAGTATGGAACCAAAGCCTCGCCGATCAGATCGAAAGATTTAACCAGATGCTGAAGAACCTTCAACGTGGCAATCATTATAGACCTGTTCTTTGTACGCAGCGCATCTGCAAGAAATGTGTGTGTATTATTATACTAAATGATGTTAAGATTATTGTTCTAATACTTTTGATCGGAATGATCAATTGCGGAACGCATGGAAATATCTTCTGGCCACCTTTGTCAAGCAGATCAGAGATACCCTGCAGCGCCAGAAACCTGTAGGGGTCCTCCAGTTCGCATAAACCATCGAAGAAGGTGGGTAGAATGTGCGAGTAATCGAGTTTATGTATGTCCTTCTAAAATTCGCTTCCGAGAATGTTTTGCTATTTCGTGAGGTGTAGTTATTCATGTTTACCTTCCAAGTGCATTTAGTCCGTTTCGCATCAGCGGTCACCGGCAGTTCTCCCCTGACATAAGCAGATCTGAAGACGGTGTTTTTCGGAACATTCTCCTGGTAAGGATTGCAGGTGGGTGGAGGTAGAACGCAGGTGCCTCTCTGGAGGGCTTGCACCGTAAACGCAGGTACGATGCGACACTTCCTCTGCTTAGGCGCGTTCGGTAGAGGCCTGTGCAAGGAATCCCGAAACTCTCTTCCACTTACCATTCTTACTGCTCGAAACTCATGAATTTGCTAGAGACGTTACAAAAACCTTTTTACCTGTCACTCAAAAATATACATTCACGAGAACCGCACGAAATACGTATATTTTAGGGCAGTTACCTTAGAAACTGAAATGTTGTTTGATCGAACGCTGCGCCCAAATATTAATTACTGCAGTGCAGTAATATAGCGATGTTTGGATATCGCGATTTTGTAGGCGAATGAAAGTAAAATAACTATTTACTACTACGTTATTATATTACAGTAGATACATTTCTTAAAGAGCAATAAAACTTAGGAATGATTTACTTCTGATGAACATTAAGGTGCTGTTTGAGCTTGTAGTTTTTGGTGAAACCCTTGCCGCAGACGTCGCAAATGAAGGGCGTTTCTCCTGTGTGCACTCGCATATGCATCTTGAGGTTGTAGGGATTAGAGAGTATCTTGTAGCAGACAGGACACTCCTTCGTCGTGTCAGTTCCGATCTTGTGGATGCTCCGCATGTGTCGCACCAAACTGTTGGAAAATTTGAACGCTCTGCCGCACATCTCACACTCTGCGTCCTTTTCCTGCTCGTGATTGAGCTTCTTGTGAATGGCCAAGTACCTCTCCAGCACGAACCGCTTCGGACAGCAATCGCATTGATAAATGTCCAAACCCTGATGGAGGATCATGTGCTCTTCGTAAGGGAGTTTGTTGATGAACTTCTTGCTGCAGATCTCGCACTCGTAACGGAACTCTTCCTCCGCGTGTAGACGCACGTGGTTCCTGAAAGATCGCTTGAAAATGGTCGTGAATTCGCAGAAGGGACACGCGAACGACTTGGAGGAGTCGGCTAGATGGTTTTGCACGTGCAACGAGAAATCCACGATTCCCTCGAAGTTCTGATCGCAATCCGAGCAAGCGTACCTCAGCTCCGCATTGCTGACAATAATGATTTGTTCCTCTTTGTCGATGGCATTCCTACAAACATATTCGCTACAGTCTACATGGATATTGCCGATTACATTATTTGCAAATAAAAAAAATAAATTTGAAGTTTTATATATAATAAAGATCAACTATAGTGATTTTTTTAAGTTGTAAGGAAGATAAATACATGATAAAAATAATAATATTTATTAACTAGATGTGTATCATTAATAACAACCTTTACATGATTTCAAGTGTAAATTCATGATGGCCCTAGATACGAAGCCCTTTGCGCAGATGAGACATTTGTAGGGTTTCTCCCCTGTGTGATTTCGCATGTGGATGACTAAGCTTGTTCTTTGCGAGAAACATTTCTCGCAGTAGGTACATCTGTAGGGTTTGACGCCCGTGTGTATCCTCTCGTGCTCGATGAGCAACGGCTTCTTCACGAAAGCCTTCTCGCAGTACGAGCATTTGAACGGTTTGTATCCGGTGTGTATTCTCATGTGGAACTTTAATTTCTCTTTGCTGGAAAGCTGCTTTCCGCACACTTCACAGACTGACACGTTCCCAGCGTGCGTGTTGTTCATGTGAAGCTTCAAACTGTTCCTGTGCTGGTACTGCTTCTTGCACAGAAGACACTCGTGCACGTCGCCATCGGTTCGATCCTTGTGCACGATGTGCTTGTGGGCGGCCAAATGCCTCGAATACATGAACGTCTTCTCGCAGTAAGAACACGCGAACGGTTTCTGCCCCGTGTGAAAATTCTGGTGCTCCTTGAACCAGCTGAATATATTGAATCCCTTCTTGCAGATGCCGCACGTGTACTTCCAAGTCTTCTCGTGCCTCGCGAGCAGATGCTTCGTTATATCCATCATCTCTCCGGTCGCATAATCACAGTTAACGCATTGGAACTTTCCGTCCGCAGAGTGCGAGGTCATGTGCAGGATGTAGTCCAGCACTTTCTTGAACATTCGATCGCACTGCTCGCAGTTGTAGGTGTTGTTGTGGATCTTCATGTGCTCCCTGAGCGTTCTCTGGTTCTTGCATCCCTTGTTGCAGATGTCGCACGTCGGCCGCCCGCCACCGTCCACCAATCTATCCTCCTTTATCGAAACTATCGGTATTAAGAAATCCTCAACATCCCTGCAACGAATTATTCCTGATCAGAAATATATTCAACCCATGACGGTTCTTAACATCCCGATCAACGCACAAACACTACAACAACTAAATTACATCACCTTTACTCTTACCAATTAGAAACTTTTTAGAATTATATTCCAAACTGCACTGAATTCGTAATTGCCGGTTGTTTTCAAACCAACGTAATGAAATTGAATTTAAACAATTCCATGGAGTCAACAATGGGGGAGGATTGATTGTTTTTATTTGGGTAGCGATTTGCGGATGCAGATTAAAGTACAAAATATATATTTGAAAGAGATAACTACAACTAGAAATCAGGCACCCTGGCAGCTCTTCATATGCGAATCCATGACGGCCTTCGAGATGAACCCGTGACTGCAGAACCTGCAGATGTACGGCCTCTCACCGGTGTGCGTCCTCTCGTGCAACCTCAGCGGACTCCGCTGCGAGAAACCTTTGCCGCAGAACTTGCAGATGAACGGCTTCTCACCCGTGTGGACTCTCTCGTGCTCTCGCAGCTGGTCCTTCCTGGTGAAGCTCTTCGAACAAGTCCTGCAAGCGTGCGGTTTGTATCCGGTGTGGATGCGTCGGTGAATGTTTAGCTTCTCGATGCTCGCAAACGGTTTACCGCAGATGTCGCACAATCCTGCGGCGTGAACTTGAGCGCTGTGCCTCCACAGCTCGCTGGCACTCTTAAAATTCTTTTTGCATAGCACACAATCCAAGTCGGTTATCTTTCCATCGTAATCTTCGTTATCATCGTCCTCATTAGTAACTTCCTCTTTTATTAATATCTTGGGTTCGTTCGTTGTGCGGATCGGTCTACGTTCCACCTTCACCACCATTATTTCGTCATCGTCCTCCTCGCCGCTGCCGGCATCCTTTTCTTTCTTGATATCGTCCAGAGTCTTCAAAATTAAAGAATCAGATAAATATGTGCTCGCGTCCACGAAACTAAAAAGAAATACAATTAGAAATCGCATTAGACTCGTTTCCAAGAAGATTGCAACACACAAAGAAAAGATAATTAAAAATTAGAAACTATTATTGGAATATCTCGTAGAACATAGAACACTATTACGAAATGAAAAGTTACAAATGATTGACTAATAATAAATTAACAAGTACCTTGAGTTAGGTTCTATATGGAGATAAAAAAAATAATATTATTGGTTTGCATATAATATATATTTGTAATAAATAACCATTTTATTAACAAAATAAATCAGAATATATCTCATATCTAATTGTAGAATACAATTTGAAGTAAGTTTCAATCTAATTATAATAAAAAAAAGTGTACGAAATGAGGAGAGAGAAGAATCAATGAAAACTGGTACGCGACTTTAAAGAGGTTTTTATTTTTCACTGCATGAATGTCGAATGTTGACCACCCTCGCAGTTCTTCATGTGCGTGTCCATGACACCCTTCGAGATGAATCCCTTGCCGCAAAGTCTGCAGATGTACGGCCTCTCGCCCGTGTGAGTCCTCTCGTGAATCCTCAGAGGACTCCGCTGGGTGAAACCCTTTCCGCAGAACTTGCAGATGAACGGTTTCTCGCCTGTATGCACTCTCTCGTGTTCCTTGAGCTGCTCCTTCCTGGTAAAGCTCTTCGAACACATCTGACACGAGTACGGTTTGTACCCGGTGTGGATGCGCCTATGGAACTTGAGCTTCTCCTTGCTAGATAAACTCTTGCCGCAGATGTCGCACAGAACGCTCGCATCTATTCCCTGGTAATTGTGCTTGCTGATCTTGTGTCTGCGTAGACCGGTGGCACTGGTATAGTGCTTGTTGCAGATGGTGCAATCGTACTTGACCAGTGGCTTCCCGGTCATTATTTCCCAGTGCTGGGATCGTCTGTGCGATGTCAGGAACCACGAGAACATGAAGTGCTTACCGCATATTTCGCACTGGAACGGTTTCTCGCCGGTATGGAAGTTCTTGTGTTCGACGGCGTGCGTGCTTATGGTGAACGCCTTGTTGCAAATCTCGCACTTGTAGCCTGTCTTCCCCTGGTGCGCTTTGATGTGCATCTCGAAGTTGTACTTCGAGGAACTCTTGTAATTGCACATGTGACACGAATATTTGTCATCGGCGTTGTGGATGAGCGAGTGAAGCCCAAAGGTGAGATGATTTTTAAAGATAGTGTCACACGTATCACAATGGATGGGCTCATCCTCTTCCGTCTTGCTGCTGCTGTCACCGTCACCAGGAACGTACTCGAAATCCTCATCTTTCTTCACGCTTCTCGTCTTCCTCTTAGTCCTCGGTGTTTCCCTCGTCTTCCTGCTCTTCGCCGTTACTTTCTTCCCAACATCACTACTACTCAACTTCTTCGTTTCTTTTTCAGCCTTCTCTTCCAAAGCAACAACACTCACTAAAACCGACTTCGCTTCATCACTGTACCTAAAAATAAATCAAATTAGGATAAACAAAATTAATATTTCTTTTTTTAATTTGTTATTTTTACTATTTTATAGAGCACATGAAATAATTGTATATAAATATATATAATAAAAAAACACTCCGTTCAACACTATACGATTTATTCTCCTGACTCATCAATACTTACAACAAACTTAAGATGCATCTTTATTTAAATTTTAATAAGCGTAATTCCAATATAAATATACAGATCCAATTCCTGCTCTTCGATCTTTCTCCAATCTTCAGTTGTTTTGTTTCTTTAACAAAATATACATTATCAAATATAAAATAACTTTATTCTTAATATAATAGTAGGATGTGTTAGAAAAATACTTAATTTTCTAATAATATGCTAACGAAAGTTACTAAAAGAGGAGATCAGTGTAATAAAAGCAATCAGCGATACTGATCAATTATAATTCTTGAGTTATTATTTTTTGCTCCGCAAATTCGTATGAGAAATCCAAATTGGGCAGATCGTGTGTTTTGTAATGGTTAGTCAGATGGTTCTTCGTGATGAAAGCCTTTCCGCAATGGCATTTGTAGGGTCTTTCACCTGTGTGACATCGCAGATGCACAGTGAGGGTTGTTCTTTGAGTAAACGCTTTCTCGCAGAGATGGCATTTGAAAGGTTTATCACCGGTGTGGATCCTTCTGTGACTCACCAGATACTCCTTCGCCGCAAAGCTTTTAGTGCAAAATTCGCAGACAAAATCTTTCTCGCCGATGTGCATTTTCACGTGCGTCTCGAGAATTTTCTTGCTGCTCAATGATTTGCCGCAAATGTTGCAGACGTACGAGCTGAGCTGAAGATGCGTTTTCAGGTGAGTCTTGAGATTGCGCGCGGTCAAGTAGCTTTTTCCGCATATGTCGCAAACGTGCGACCTCTCCTTTCCATAATTGGGATCGTGCGTAGTCTTGTGCTCGTTAAGGGCGCTCATCGTGCTCAGACGATGTCCGCAGATGTCGCAAATGTGCGACACCTTCTCGTGATGCACCTTCACGTGCTTCAAGTATGCCGATTTCGTAACGAAACCCTTGTTGCAATCCTTGCAGAACTCTGAGAACTCGCACAAGTGTTTCTTTCTGTGGCTGGTGAGATGCGATTTGTGCACGAACATCTTCGAACAGATATCGCACTGGAAAGACGGATTGCTATGGCTGCGCTTGTGCGCGTTCACCTCGTGCCTCTGCTTGAACCTCTTGTTACAGACCTCGCAAGCGTACGGCCTAACTTCCGAGT